AAATCGGTTGAAGATATATATTGAAGCTATATCCAAATCTGAACCGATAAATCTGAATCTGATAAAATTTGGCAGAGGTATTTCCGAGCTCTGTAAGATATCTGGCACCAAATATCATTGCAGGTTAAGTTCGTAAATGGGCCATGTAGGTCCACGTTTTCATATAGCCCCCATATAACGGTACCTCCCGATATTCGGTATTTTGATGATTTTCGCGTCATTATTCACCAGAGTTGTTTCAAATTACGTATTTGGAGTTCGCTATGAGAACTACAATCTGTGACAGAAAATTGTCTATATAGGTCCAGGTCTTCGTATAGGCCCCATATAAGGGTACCTCCCTATGTTCGGTATTTTGATGATTTTAGCGACATTATTCACCGGAATAGTTTCAAATTTGGTATTTGAAGTTCGAAATGGATACTACACCCTAAGGCAGAAAATTGTCTGTGCAGGTCCACGTCTTCGTATAGCCCCCATATAAGGGTACCTCCCTATGTTCGGTATTTTGATGATTTTAGCGACATTATTCACCGGAATTGTTTCAAATTTGGTATTTGAAGTTCGAAATGGATACTACACCCTAACACAGAAAAATGTCTGTGCAGGCCCACGTCTTCGTATAGCCCCCATATAACGGTACCTCCCTATATTTGGTATTTTGATGACTTTAGCGACATTATTTAACGGTATTTTTTTCAAATTTGATATTTGAAGTTCGAAATGAATACTACACCTTAAGACAGAAAATTGGTTGTGCAGGTCCCCGTCTTCCTATAGGCTCCATATAAGGGTACCTCCCAATATTCGGTATTTTGATGATTTTAGCGTCATTATTCGCCAGAGTTGTTGCAAATTACGTATTTGGAGTTCGCTATGAGAACTACAATCTGTGACAGAAAATTGTCTATATAGGTCCAGGTCTTCGTATAGGCCCCATATAACGGTACCTCCCTATTTTCGGTATTTTGACGATTTTAGGTACAATACCAATCGAAATTGTTTGAGATGTGGTATTTGAAGTTCGTATTGTATGCTACAGCCACGTCGTATAGACCCTATATTTGGTATTTTTAACATTTTAACAGAATTTTTTAAGAATTTTATTTTTTGAAAATTTCCAAATTCGTTCCAAATGGTGGAGGGTATTCAAAGTTCAGCCCGGCCGATCTTACTGCTTTTTAACTTGTCTAAATTCAAATTTTAATACTAACATAGGTTAAATAACTTAAATCTATCATTAGGAAACTACTACAATTAGGTTAGACACAGTCTAAAACAATATTTTCCGACATTCAATTTTGGGCCCCATTTAACTAAGTACTCATCATTAGAGCGCCTATTGACCGACCTAGCGAGAGAACCAACAAGTTAACAAGTAAAAATGCAGTAAGTTTAGCCGAATTTGGAAATATTCAAAAGATAACATCGTACGACTACGATATCGTAGACCTACATTGACAATTCTCTTCCAAGTGGTAAAGTAGTCACGAAAAACCCCACAATTCACAATTGTGGGGGAGGCACCAGAATGAGTGTACCGATATATTCCATCTTCATACCAGGTCTTTAGTTATTAGAGTAGTATTTTTTGTGAAAATTTTGATCTTTTGTAGGGTAGCTTCCAGAATGAGTGGACGAAGTATTATTTTTTTTTAATTTTTTGCGATTAGTTGCTTATAAAATTGTTATATTTCGGAGGGAAGCACCTGATCTATTATATATTACTATATTACTATGTATGAATTTTCGATGCAATCGGACCCCTATTTCACATTTTACAAGGTTTAAAATTTAAAAGAAGGTACTTAATGAAGTGGACCGTTATTGTTTCTTTTTTGTACTAACAAGTTAGAAAGTATCGGTCGATTTTTCCGACAGATGTATACCCTCAGCTAATGTTCGATTATTTATTTATATTTTGACTTATGTTATGATTATTCAAATTGTTATTGTCCATGGAGTAGAGACAAGAAACCTAAAGTCGTTAAGGCGTGGTCTGTGGAGAGACCAAACTGACAATCTCGTTGAATACTCCTTTCTTCAACGGTTCTTCGAATCATCGCCCAAATAAAGAATTAAAAAAAACTTCGAAACGGTGATAGAAAAGAAATAGACTTGAAATTATCACACTTAGAGTGATTAGAGCCCCGCTTCTGTTTTCCTGAATATCCACACCAAAATGTAAACATATCTTCATGACTAAAATTCCGAATTCCAGATAATTCAAAATGAAAATAGTTTTATAATCAAGAAATTATGTCAAATCGGACGGTTCCATATATATGGGATCTTTGGACAAAATTGAATCCGGTTCCATTGAAAAGTCTGTTTTAATATGTGTGAAAAACCATCAAAATTTTTCTTCAAATATACCTATTCCCCTTCAGAACAATATATAACAAACGTTTGTTCAAAAAATACGCTGGTACAAATATTATAGTCGAAACTTGGCAGTTAATATTTTTGTCAAACCTAGATCAAGTTCGAATAAAGGAAATATCGGCTCTTTCTGAAACGCCTAAATGTTAACAAGTTAAGAAGAGCGTTGTTTATACCCTCCACCGTGTGGAAAGTAACCCATGTAAAACAAGTAATGAAAAGTCAAAAGTCGGGCGGGGCCGACTATATGATACCCTACACCACTGTGCGTATTTAGTAGAGCACCAGTAAAAAAAATAATTTATTTCAAGTAGATCATACCACCCATCAACATTTGGCTTTAGAGCATTTAAAGTTTGCTATAGAGTGCATGATATCAATTGGAGAAGGATCATATTAAAAATATATCGGAGCCGAGTTGCACAAAATGGAAACGTACGTCACGAAATTCACTACATTTTGGGCTGAAATTAGCCATTATTTGCACAATAAACCTGAAATCGGATTAAGAATATATATGGGAGCTTTATCCAAAATCGTTCTCGTAAAATTTGGCAAAGGTATTTCCGAGCTTTATAAGATATCTGGTACCAAATATCATTGTTTTCGAATGCATATTACGAATGTGAGGGACTTAAACACCAAATCGGATGAAACATATATGGGAGCTATAGCCATATCTGAGCCGATTTTGTCCAAATTTGATGTACTTGCTTCTAGACTTAACTCGTTGGATATGCCAAAATGCAGGACTTTTTGACAGATATTGGTCATTTTGTGCACAATTAACCCGAAATCGGTTGAAGATATATATTGAAGCTATATCCAAATCTGAACCGATAAATCTGAATCTGATAAAATTTGGCAGAGGTATTTCCGAGCTCTGTAAGATATCTGGCACCAAATATCATTGTTGTCGAATACATATTACGAATTTGAGGGACTTAACAACAATTCATATGAAACATATATATGGAAGCTATAACTATATCTGAACAGATTTTAACAAAATTTAACGTACTTCCTTCTAGACCGAATTCGTTGAATATGTCAAAATTCAGGTCATTTGGACAGATATTAGCTATTTGGTGCACAATTAACCCTAATATCGATAGGATAAGGGCTACAGAAAAACGTTGACTTATATATAAATAGTTCATTATAAGCAGAAGAACCCCTTACGGAATACAAACACTGAATTTTAAACAATTCCATCAGAAAGTGTGGCTGAAATCGTCAAACTCCCGAAAATCTGGAAGTACCATTAAAATGGGGGCTATAGGAAAACGTGGAGCTATATTGACAGTGTTCTGCTACAGGATATAGAATTCAATATGAACTTTAAATATTGAATTTTAAGCTATTCCGCAAAAACGGCCTAAATTCATGAAAATATCGAATATGGGTAGGTACAATTTTATGAGACTATAAGAAAACGTGTTCCTACGCAATGTTCTGCCACAGTGGGTAGAATATATTATTAACTCTAAATACCAAATCTGTAACTATTTCGTTAGGTAGTGTGGCTGAAATCGTCAAAATGTGGATGTATATAGACAATATTATGCCACAGGAGTTAGATTCAAATAATAACTCAAAGAAGTTTGCGTTAACGTTCAAATGTTGATATATCGCAATATTTTTATCAGGCCGTAGTTATACAGCCCACATTTAGCACATGGTAATATTTTTATCAGATTAAGGTCACGTGAACCATGCAGGTTACTACTATTTCGATATACCGGACTAGCAAAAAATTAAATCTTCCATGTAAAATGTATAAAAAATTAGCAAAAAAATAACCTGCTTACGCTCCTGTTTTAGACCACGACTTTTTGTCGAGCCAGACCCTAAATATCGCTGCAATAACAAATACTTTTGCTTTTGTCTCACTTTGTTGCCCTCACTTATCAAGCAATTCATTTATAAACCCTTGTCTCTACGATTTTTTTTCGCTGAGGGTAAGTGTTTACTTTTATTGGGGCCAATGAAATGAACTCATTTTGTGGATTGTATTTCAAAGCAATAGCACACTAAGAGACACATAGTGAGAGTGAGAACTCAATTCCACTGAAATGAATTCTGGTGCTCTCGCCACAAACATACCAAAACACATTGCCATTTGAATCAAGTGACTTGATGGAGCTCACATGGATGCCTTCGAAATGTTGCTCTCTCTCATTTTGTAAAACTTTTTAAGGTGGTTGGGGGGAGAGTGAGATTGGTCGTTTTTTACAGAGATGGGGAAATGACACAAAACGGTCGTTAGCTCTTGGCCTCTTCGTATCATGTGTTCGTATTTTAAGTGTTTTGCACGAAGATACGTACGCTGTGTGGATGGGTCGTTGTGTGGTGTGGTTTGATAGTTTGGGGCTTGGTTTGGGGGGAGAACTACAATACTATTTATTGGTGGTGGTTTGCTCTCGAGTAGATTCGGTTTTGTTGGGCGGCATGGTGTGTGTGCGTGTGTGTTTGGTGTCTTGTGTGAGATGTTTGTTCGCCTTTGCGGTGTGCGTGAGTGAGAGAGCCAAATGGATGGGGGTATTTTATTGTTGTATTGAACCACTAAATCGAGTTGCTAGTAAACAGCAACGAATCAGTTGTCAGTTCGCATCCAACTTGTAAGCAGGTAGAGACCGTATAACACGTTTTAAGCTTAAAAGCCACGAGGTCGTTCGTTTTCTGTGTTTGAAAAGATAATTGTATGCCATTGGGTAGTGGTGCTGATCTTTAAAAGTAAATTCTTTTTTTGATAAACAAAAGAAAATACGACAGAAAGAATCCAATAAAACTAAATGTAAAGCGAAAGTGTGCGATGAAAACCGTGACAAAAGGCAAAATGTGAAATAAATTTATATTCTTTGGAAATGATAACATTTTAGAAATTAAAAAATCATCAACCTCTGAAAACATCATAAAAATTGTGTCTCTTGCCTCGCCTTGCCTCTTTCTCTCTCTCTAAGGAACATTAAGAAGTGTGTTTTTTTCAAATTCTTCATATACGACAAAATAAAATGCCGATGATCATGATGTTCAGGTTGATGGTGTAACATTGTCGTAGTGGTACGGTGAGGTGATATTTGCGCGCTCTTTCCAATTATCTGGCTATTTTGCCAAGAAAAATATGCCCTGAACCGGAGAAAAAGAAGAAGGGAGTTGGAGATTGTAGTGTTGTGTGTCAGTGATCGATCGTTCGTTCGTTGGTTTGCCCTTTGTTATTGTCGTTGTTGTGGATCATACGTCGTATGAGTGTGTTGGTTTGGCGAGTACGCGAATCGTAAGCAAAAAAATAAAAGGCTGACTGGTTGACCATACGCGACGAATGATATTCGAAAATGAAAACATAAAAAACCGAAACGCAAAAGAAAATGAATAAGGAAAGAATTGAAAAAAGTAAAAAAAAAATAAATAAAATAATACCCACACACTCACACACCAACAAGAATATTCATATCAAATGTTCAACAGAGTGTTTGCTCGAAATAAAATCGAAAAAATAAACGCAAAAATTTTATTTTTTTTCGCTCTCGTATCGTTTTGTGTGTTACGCCAAAGAATAAACGATAACAATAAAAATAATAATAATGATGATGGGGGAGTAAGAAATTGAAATAAAAAACACACATTTGAAATCCCAAATAACGAACTCGAAATCAAATAATTACTTTTAAACAAACAAAAATTTAATTGTGTTTTCTTGTTATTTTCCATTCTATTTTGTTACGTGATTGTACCAACTTTGCGTTTTATTATTTTCGTTTTCATTCGTTCTTCGTTGATCATTCGTTCGTATTTGTTCTTTGATTCGTGTTCATAGATCTGCTGTGGTGTGGTGATGATGTTGATGGTGAACCACAGCGAGAACGAGAGAGTGAAGAGTTGTGATCTCTCCAATTAAGTGTCACTCTCTCTTGATATTATTATCAAAATGTATAAGTGTTTGTTTATCGAGAGTGCTCTACTATCACTAATATTAAAATATAAAAAGAAAAAATAACAAAAACATAAATACTGTATAAAACAATAACAACAACACCACCACCAACATCATTATCATGATGGCTGTCTCGTAATAATCATCCCAATTACAGCTGAAAAACAAAATACCGAACATATCAACAAGTTGAAAAATTTTGTTTTTGATTGAGCCATTGGCGCATAAAGTTATTCAAAACACTTTTTTGATGTTAGTGTAACATACAGTTAATTTTTCTGGAACTTATGAAATGTCAACATACCGAAAATTTATTTATAAACCCATAAAAAAATAAGCAAATTTTAACGGAAAAGTTACAAATTTAATTTGTATTATAGTATGTTTTCATTTGAGCTTTTAGCCTTTTGACTTCCTTTATGTAGATTTATTTGACGTATACCTAGCAATGGAATTGGGTTTACCAAAATCCGGTGAAATGTAAGGGTTTGTAAATCCTCAATGTTGTTAATGCGGACCCCATAAAGTACAAAGTTCTCCTAAAATTTGACAAACCTGAGAATTGAAATTATGTGTCAAAATTCTTGAAAGCAAAACAAAATGCGCTCATGCGATTTGGTTGAAACAAAAAATAGAATTCACATTGAAACACTTGTTTCGTTCCAGTACAAAAAAAATTTAACAACCATAACCGATTATTTATGATATCGAAAAAAATGCAAAAATAGTAAGTTCTTGTAGGTCTGGAACAGACCAATTGTAAGAAATTATTCAAAAAATACTGAAACTATACAATAATCCACTTTTTTGTGGTTCTAAAAATTGATACTTTATGTTTTTATTCAACAAAAAATCGACTTTACGATTTTGAAGAATAAGCCAAAAATTGAATTCCATTTGACTTTTCAGAGCCGATTTCGTTTTATTATTTTTCGTGTGTAGTTTGTTTTAACGGTTGATCTTTTTTAAATAAGTTGAAATTACATATATCCTTATGCATCATTTGGCTCGAGAGAAAATTAAACAATCTACTAATTCAAAATTGATTACGAAAAGTCGTCTGCGATTTTAACTACTGGCAAAAGTTAACTTCGTTTTTTTAGAAATTTTTAATTCCAAAAGTCGATCAATAAAAAGTTGTCTTACGTATCTCTATTCCGATCCTATCGTTTAGAAACTGCTGCGATTATAAATTTATCTATAAAGAGTCTTGTATTAACAACCATCAGGAAAATTGTTTGGATCTCTGGAAGTGATTTCGTTACCCAAATATATATTTCACAAAATACAGGGTGAGATAAAAAAACTGCAAGATACATTTTTTTTAATTTTTTTGAATGAAAGCAAAAAATGTCGGAAATAGCATCAAATTTTAGAATAAGTTTAGCGCTGGAAATGAAGCGAGGAACCTCATTTTGTAACCATTCCTGTTGGAATGTCCAAGGACTGCGGCCAGAATGTTTGCGTGCCCAAGGCTTTAATACATCCTCCAGAATATTTTCGCGATAATATTCGGCATTTGTTCTGATGCTACGGTCGATTAATACGAGCGGAGAGCGACCATAGGTTGTTATGGCGGCCCACACCATCACCATGGCCGGTGCTTGAATTCTGGTGGCCAACCGAAGGTGCACAGTTTCAGCTGACCTCTTTGACAAGTAAACACGATCGTTTTGTTTGTTCACAAACTGCTGGACAACGAATGTTTTCTCATCGGAGAAAAAAAAATTTAGCAGTTCACCACTTTCGGCCAAGCAAAGCAACTCTTGAGCTCTTTTGAGTCCATTTCCTTTCTATTGCGGTGTAAGTTCTGGCACTTTTTGGAATTTCCCCCGCTTTACTCCGAGTTCATTTTTCATTATTTGCCAAATGGAATATTGCCATATGTTCAGCTCACGAGCCATTTTTCGGCCATTGCGACGCGGGTTTCGATCAAGCCGCTTCTTTACTTTTCGAACCATTTCCGCTGATGTTGCTGTCCACTTCCTTGACGTCGGACTACGCCGGAGTGTTCTAACGATAGCCACTTGTGGTTTTCCTTCCAAATATAAAGAAATCACACTATTACCCTCGAATTCCATAACGAATAATTTTTTTCCTGGAAAATTCCCACTTGTACGCTTGTAAACAATAATGGGCTGTCACTGGAATGTTTTAACAGCTGTCGTGACGAGTGGCTTAGAAACGACAGCAGTCTGAAGTTGCAGTTTTTTTATCTCACCCTCTATTACCGAGTAATTTATCAAATAAAAAACTGTATTGTTTTCTCAGTCCCCATGGAAGGAACACAAGCAAGCATTCCAATAAATTGTTTTCCTGTACAAACTTTATATGCAAAGAGCTCATTGTATCATTGTACTTAAACTGTCATCCAAGATCTTAACATTTTACATGTTCGTGTTAAAAAAATAAATATCTTTTTCAAAATTTAAAACAAAAGGGTTTAAATTTAAATTTTGTAATTTTTTCATTTTTAATAATAGCTTAGAATGAGATTATTTATTTTACTTTTTTATAATTTTTTATGATACTAAATAAAAATACATAAAAATGAATTTCCTTCGTTAATTAATAATAATAATTAATTATGAAATTTTGTATTTCATATCTATGTTGGGTCAAAATGACCCAAAGTGTCCTAAGAAGGGCATAAATCCAAGGGATGTAAAAGCGTATTGTGTTCAAATGATTTCGGTTTTTTCAAAAATATACGCATATTTCCAAATTTCTAAAAATCTTTGCAGGGTGTTAACTCTTTTGCTTACTTTAAATAATTAATAAGATTACCTTGCCCTAATTTTAATGTCACATTAGATTATATTTTTATATGGGTTGCAATTATTTCGTTCGAGCCACATGTTCAACATAATATATTAATTAAATTCTAAATTGAAATGACAAACAATTCTTCCAATCTAAACTTCATAAAAAAAAACCAAAATGGAAAACTGTACTAAATATAAAGTTTTAAATATAAAATAAATGTGATCTCAAATAAAATAATAAAGAAAAACTTGCTATGGTCGAGTGTGAATTTTCCTCCAGTTTAAATAACAAAAAAAAAAAAAAACTTATGTACAACAAATGTAATGTGAAAAATAAATAATTGTATTTTAATAATATTAACTACTTTTTATTTTACTTTTTAAACAGAAAAAATAAATTAAAATAAAAAAAAATAACGCACAATACTTTTGCGTATAATTTTGGTTAAACACAACAACCATTAATTAATTTGGTAAAGAAAATAAATAAAAACAATTATTATCCGAAAAGAATCGCCTCAAGCAAAATAGCCAACGTTGTCATCATTGCCCTGGACATCATCATTAGCTCTGTAAAGAAAAAACTAAACATTTGTGCTTCAAATTCTACCGAGTGTGTTCCGCCGTTCTACAATTGTAAAATTTGTATAAAACTAAAAGAAGACAAATTTCTTCAAATTTTGGATCAGTGCAGTGCAGGTGGTGAGTAAAATATTTTTAAAATTTTTTAATGGAAAAGAAGTAAAGAAGCAGCTAAGTACGACCGGGCTGAACTTTGAATAACCTCCACCGTTTGGAACGAATTTGGAAATTTTCAAAAAAATAAAATCCGTTAAAAATTCTTTTAAAATCTTAAAAATACCGAATGTAGCCGTTATATATAAGTCATATATTTGTCATAAGTCATTACAATATTCAAATGCGAAACTTGAAAAGAAATCCGTTGAATAATGTAGCTAAAATCATCAAAATAATAGGGAGGTACCGTTATATGGGGGTTATACCAAAACGTGGACCTGCACAGATAATTTTCTGTCATAGGCTGTAGTATCCATTACCAAATTCAAACACCAAATTTGGTGAATAATCGTCAAAATACCGAATATCGGGAGGTATCGTAATATGGTGGCTATACGAAGACGTGGACCTGCACAGACAATTTTCATGGCCTATTTTCAATACCAAAAGTCCTGCAGACACAATATACATTTGTGTAAAATGTTATCAACCTACTTCATTCTTATTCTTGGTTCGGAAGCTAGAGTGATTTCCACAGACGGACGGACATTGCGAAATTAAATTAGAATTTTATGCTGATCAATAATATATACTTTGTAGGGTCTAAAATGTATATTTCGAGGTATTACAAACGGAATGACAAACTTATATACCCTCCATACTATGGTATGGTAAATATTTTAAATTTTATAAGGAAATAATAAAATTTCTAAATGTTTGAGACAAGTCATAGTATTTTTAGTAGTTGCTATTAAAAATATATAATCGATCTTAAAAAATATTTATTAAAGTTTTTATTGGTTTCATTTAAATTTTATAAAAAAAAAAAAACATTTTAAGCCTTGTTGCCATGGCTTACTCGCCAGAAATTTTAATCTGTTCAAATAATATATTTCCGCTATAACTTATATCGTCTGCTTGATGTCTACGATTATGTTTTACGCAGCTAAACTTTTTCAAAAATTCACTCAAACGAAATACTCTAAAGATTATTTACGTTTTAAAATAAATTAAAAAAGAGACCACTAATAATTTATTCATCCCACACTGATGGAATTTTACGTTGAAATTTCATCATCCATAATAATGCAACAGCAACGTTCATTGAATTCTCTTTTTTTCGAAAAAAAAATATGCATTGCGATTACCGTTTTCGCCGCTGGATGTACTCTCAAAATGATACGTCATACTTGGCGTAGAAAACAAAAAATATCTATTTTAAATTTATTTCGAAATCAGATAATTTAAATTCCAAAACAAAAAGTTAGATAGAACCCCGTCTCCTCATTTTTTTAAACTACAATAATATATCTGAAATAACATGAATTTTAAATTAACTTATCGTATAACTTAATAGTAGGCCAGTTGGGGATGAGTGTGTATTCAAAATATGTTCATATTGCTTCCGTTTGGAGATAGATTTTGATAGCATAGAAACAGTTTTGAAAAAAATTGGTCATTTTTAAAGAAAACATGTTTTGTTAGGCCATGAAATGAAATGGGTGTGCCATAGATGCAAATACAACTTTCAAAATTCGTTTAGGAGGCTGGACCACTGGGATTATTTTGCACTAAATCTAGTCAAGAGTAAGAAACTTGTTTTAAAAGTAATACAAATTTTTAATACAGTTATTTTTTTGTTTTGTTCTTTTTTAATATTGAAACGGAATTCGAAATAATCCGAAACGGAACCATCTACAAAATTTACGATAAAGTGTCTGATTATCACCGAAAAAAGTGATTCTAAAGATCAGGTTTCAAAGTATTTTAGTTTTTATGAAAAACAATCAAGATAGAAAAACAATGCAGAATACCGGGTTTGTTTTTCGTTTCCCTCCAAAGAACTCCATAGCTTTTTTTGACAGATCGGAAGAGATTTTAAATATAATTCGTTTTCGTATAATAAACAAAAAAAAATACTAGTGTTGAGAAACGCTTCACTATACACTGGAACTCGTACCAGGATTGACAAATTTTTAGCGAAATAAATTAAAAATGTGATTTGTGTAAAGAAATATGTGACACCTGGAAATTATAGTTGTTCTAATTTTTGTTGTAATTTACTGTCTAATTTATAAAAAAAATGAAAATTTTTCTTCTTTTATATTTTAGTTAACAGTGTTTAAAGTTAGCGTAATTCAAAAAACCAGCACATCAAAAATTGTGAAAAATGAGGAAACAATTTGGAAAATATAAATTATTAAGAGTGTGTATGTAATTATTCGCTCGGACAATTGCTTTATATATCAAAAAAATAAATAAATAAATAAACAATCGTCAAACCGAAAGGAATCACAGAAGATTAATCTGATCAAACAACTTATAAAATTTTCAAATATTTTGGCAGAGTCCCTATCTGTTTCTTGTGCTTCTCATACCAGCCCCTGCAGTCTAAAATGGACGGTAATGTCGGCGAGACGAATAGTAGATGTACCGAAAACCTGTATGAGTTGTCATTCTCAATACTGTTGAGAAAATGCACGTTGTCGTGTGAATCCTCGACGTATTAGAATAAAATAGGTAATCAAAGGCTATAACCATGCGGGGCCGACCATGTGATACCCCACAACACTACAATATGTTAGAAAACCCCTTATGTCCAAAGTCATTTTGGGAGATTTTGTTTTGAAATTATGTCATAGAGCACTGCCTAGATGTTACTCTTAGCTTTTTGTCCAAGAGACATTTTCTCACAACACGCACTCCGTCATGTTGTTAGGTATTCAAAACTATTTCACACGAAAGTTGTGATCACTTGTGGTCATCCAAAATGCCCTGTCCTTAACTCTCTTCTCATGCAAATTTCGTGTCTATTGGTTTTCATTGTGCCCTGTAGGGCGACAGCAAAATCAGAAAAAATTTACATTTTTTGATCATTTGAGTATCTAAATGTGCAACTTCGAAAACAAACGGCTTACCCTAATCCTACCCCCATGCAAAATTTCGTGAGTATCGGATGATAATTGCAACCTCTACATAATACCCTAAAAACATAGTATTACGGGGTGTTGAAAAACTTTACGAAATGTGCAATTCAAAATTGTAAGTCAAATTGAAAAAATCACATGTGATGAAAAATGTGACAAAATTTGAAAAACATATTCTATTTTTATACCCTCCACCATACTATGGAGGGTATATTAACTTTGTCATTCCGTTTGTAACTCCTCGAAATACTTATGTCACACCCAACACGCTATCTTTCGAATGAATTGAGATAGATGGCTACAATTTTGCACACATGTTTATTTTTTCAGTAGGCAGGCTAAGTTCGTAAATGGGCCATGTAGGTTCACGTTTTCATATAGCCCCCATATAACGGTACCTCCCTATATTCGGTATTTTGATGATTTTAGCGACATTATTCACGGGAATTGTTTCAAATTTGGTATTTGAAGTTCGAAATGGATAATACACCCTAAGACAGAATATTGTCTGTGCAGGTCCACGTCTTCATAAAGCCCCCATATAACGATGCCTCCCTATATTCGGTATTTTGATGATTTTAGCGACGTTATTCACCGGAATTGTTTCAAAATTGTTATTTGAAGTTCGTTATGGGAACTACAGTCTGTGACAGCAAATTGTCTGTGCGGGTCCAGGTCTTCGTATAGGCCCCATATATCAGTACCTCCCTATATTCGGTATTTTGACGAGTTTAGGTACAATACCCACCAAAATTGTTTGTGATGTGGTATTTGAAGAATGGATGCTACAGCCTGTGACAGAAAATTGTCTATGCTGGTTCAGGTCTTTGTACAGCTCCAATTTGACGGCACATCTGTATATACGATATTTTGATGATTTTAGCTACATTATTCACCGTTTATTTCAAGTTTCCAATTTGAATATGGTAATGGCTTATGACAAACAATGCCTATGTATGTCCCCAATAAAACGGCTATATTCGGTATTTTTAAAATTATAACAGAATTTTTTAAGGATTTTATTTTTTAAAAATTTCCAAATTCGTTGCAAATGGTGGAGGGTATTAAAAGTTCGGCCCGGCCGAACTTACTGCTTTTTAACTTGTTTATTGTCATATTTTTACGGAATTTTCTTAGATTTTACCCTTTTCTGGCAAGAGACCATTCCGAATTAATGAGAAATGTGAAAATCAGTCCAGTTTATTTGACTTATAAGTGGGAAAACTAACATTAATTGTTTAGAGTGTGTAAAGTAATACAGGGTGAGATAAATAAAACTGCAACAAAGTCAAACGCCATAATTGTTTAAAATGTATTGAATGAAAACAAAAAATGTCGGAAATAGCATCAAATTTTAGAATAAGTTTAGATTTGTTCGAATTGGTCACCTTTGGCACGAATTATGGCCTTCAAACGGCCAATGAAACCGTTACACGCTGCCCGAATGTTGCTCTGCGGTATTTTGGCCCATTCCCGGCGAAGCGCTTGCTTGAGGTGATCGACACTTTGGTATTTGTTAGTGCCAACCTTGCCAACGGATTGGTATCCGGAGATTTTGGTGGCCATTGTGCGCAGGAAATGAAGCGAGGAACCTCATTTTGTAACCATTCTTGGGTGGGGCGTGCTGAGTGCGACGGTGCTGAGTCCCGTTGGAATGTCCAAGGTCTACGGCCAAAATGTTTTCGTGAACATTCCAGAATATTTTCGCCACATTATTCGGTATTTATTCTGATGCCACGGTCGATTAATACGAGCGGAGAGCGACCATCGGCTGTTATGGCGGCCCACACCATCACCATGGCCGGCGAACCATTTCTGCTGATGTTGCGTTTTTTCTTCCGTCCACTTCCTTGACGTCGGGCTACACTACCAGTATCACGGTAAGGAGCGATGGTACGAGACACAAAATATTTATTCACATTTAAATGCTGGAGTGCTCTAACGATAGCCACTTGTGGTTTTCCAGCCAAATATAAAGAAATCACACCATCACGCTTCCAACTCCATCACGAACTACTTTTTTTCTGGAAAATTCTC